CTGAAATACAGGGCGAATTTTAAAATGTTGTATAATGTACTCTTTTGTACTATTGTACTGTATGGAGCATCTTTAATTTCATAAAGAAGTAACACAGTGGACAATGATGTGAAGACACCCTGTACTGTGTATAATGACAAATAAACTAGAAACACTAAGAAAAAATAACGACTGATCATATAACTTTTTGATCCTACTGTATATGTACTGTACAATCGAAAAATAACGGCATTACGCGGAGGCCTTTTTCGGTCATATGGTATATACGTAACATATACAGTAAGATCAAAAATCTTTGTATGATGACAAATTTTTCTGGCTTGATCATGAAACTTTTTGTCGTACCGGTATATACAGATACATATCAATAGATATAAAAACATTAAAATATATGGCTGCAAATTTATTATTTGCCAAAATAAACATATAAATCTATAAAATTAATTGATAAGTAAAAATATTCTCGGTTAAAACTTAAATAAAATTTTTATAAGTGTTTAATACTATACGATCGAAAAAAAACGGCGTCAAAGATAGCTGAGGAATGACAATCGTTGATTTATTTTGGCGACATCAACCTCTAGACGCCATTTTTATATTGGGTAAAAATAGAGTTAAAAATTCAAGAAAAATAATTTTTTGGAAATAGATTTGAGTATCTAGAAACGTTCTATCCTTTAATTTTTCTATAATTAGTGTCAATTTTTGGCAAGTCTTACGTCAATTTTTAGTAAATGACGTCTAGAGATTGACCTCGTCAAAAATATCATTGACTGTCATTCCCCAACCGTCTTTGACGCCGTTTTTTTCGATCATACGGTATCAATCTAATTAATATGTTTCTCTAAATGATTCTAATTGACTGCATTTAGGCAGTATACATTTTTTATAATCATATTGATATTTTAGGTTAACTAATAGTTATTTTCTATATTATTTTTTTGTAGAAAATGTATATTGAAATATGTGTTAATTTCAATATAAGGCCATATATCACAAATTTTTTTCGTCCGAATACAACCTTCCATCACAATTTTGTTTTCCAAGTCAAAATTTGATGAACTTTTACTAATATTGCCACCATATTCGCCAGTTTTAAGTACTTAGACATAAAAAACTGTTTTTCACTTGTAAAACATTTCACAAATTTCGTGACAGATTTTCACAGTACATTTTTTTCTGGTATATCTATTCTATAATTTATTGAGCACTGAACTACTATACAAATTTTTCTTTTACCAAACTGAGTACATAGTATATAACAGAGTATTAAAGAATTGAAAATATACCCAGCAGTGGGATTTTGTAAGCTCCGTAGCAAGAAATTTATTGCCTAGCCTATGTTATTCTCATACGATTGATGAGTCACTAGACAGGAAATATGTTTACAGAATCGCACTGCAGTTTACTTTTTCAACTTGTATGTTTATGTGTTTATTATATATTTATATAAAACTAATAACAAATAACAAGAAAACTATTTGATCTTGTATTTTGTTTCTTTTAATATTGACTTTTTTAATGAATTCCGCTTATAATGCAATAAGTTGCATTTTATTGTATAAAGTTAATATTAATATATGCTTATTCAATACTAGTTAGTTCTTTGTTTTTTTTCTATCTACATGTATTAAACTACCATAAAATCGAAAAAAAAACAGCGTCCGAGTTAGCTTGGAAATGGAGACCGCTATCGTTTTATAGTATGTAAAATTTTATGGTAAATGTCATCGATCTTCATTTTCAAGCCAACTTGACGCCTTTTTTTCGATCATACTGTATGTATAGATAGTAAAGAATACCAATGATCGAGAAAAAAAACGGCATTAAGAGTTTGTTTCCAATTGGATTGAAGATTGCTATATTTCACATGTATAATAATTTTATATGGCGAATGTCATCGATAGTCACTTCTAAGCCAAGTTGACATTCTTTTTTCTAAATATGTTGACCGTAAAGAATACTATAAGATAGAGAAAAAAAATTGGCGTCACAGTTGGCTTGGAAATAAAGAACGCCAATTTATAACTAAAATTAAATGGTGAATGGCATCCATCGATCGTCATTTTCAAGCCAACTTAATGCCTTTTTTTAATGATACTGTACGTGTAGATCGTAAAAAAATACACAGGATAAAAAAAGCGTCAGAGTTAGCTTGGAAATGTAGATCGCTGATAATTTATATCTAAAATTATATGGTTAATATCCTCAATAGACATATCCAAGCTAACTTTACGCTTTTTTTCGATCATTCTGTATGTGTATACTATAAAAAATAACATACGACCGAGAAAAAAAACAGCGTTATGAGTTGCCTTCAAAATTAAGATTGCATTGATTATACAGTCAATATTATCGACCGTCATTTCCAAGTCAACTTGACGCCTTTTTTTTCTAGATTATACTCTATATGTATACCGCAAAGAATACTATAAGATCGAGAGAAAAAAAACGACGTCAGAGTTGCACTGAAAATAAACATTACAGTTGTTTGATGTCTGAAATTTACAGTCAATGTCATCGATCGTCATTTCCAAGCCAACTTGACGCCCTTTTTTCTAGATCACTGTATACGTAAACCATAAAAATATACCATAAAATCGAATAAAAGGCTTCAAAATAAAGATCGCCAGCATTTTATATCTGAAATTACATGGTGAATGCCATCAATCATTTCCGAGGTAACACGACCCCCTTTTTGTTCGAGGCCGTAAAAAATACAATACGGTCGAGAGAAAAAAAAACGGCGTCAGAGTAGGCATAAAAAATTAAGCTATAATGTAATATCATCGACCGCCATGTCTAAGCTCACTTGACGCCGTTTTTTCTCGATCATAAATTAGACAAAAAATCAATCTTCCGGTTTAAAGGCACTTCCCTATCAGTAGCTAGTATTGAATAAGCTGTAGTGATATGCTTATACATAAGGCTTTTTTGTTATTATTACACACAAGGCAAATTACGTATAATTTTCAATAAGGCACCAAATTCTATGGTCAGGACTAGCCTTAAGGTTCAGTAAAAATAATATTTTACCATCTGATAATAATTATTATAATATTTTTCCCCAAAATTTTAGTTAAAAAATATGTTTAATGAGCCTTTCAAGAAAATTGATACTTTCAGTGTCAAATGTCACTTATACATCAGTCTGTTGGTTCTTGAAAAAATATCTTCGTAACAACAATATCGCCGGTACTCAACGTTTGAGTACTAATGTTCGAATGGTTTTCCTTCGCAAAGATGGCCTCGTTCTGGCCAACACTCGTTACATATTCGTTCGTCGGAGATAGCACCCTTTCTGGCTTCATTCCGTTTATTTTGCTTGTGTGACAGTTGCAGGAACATTTCACAATATCACCGTCAGATGGCAGTAACGCTGCTGAACTAAGGATTGATTCTAAAAAAATTAAATCAAATTAGTGAAAACAATCCTGAGAGATAGGAAGTTATTTTTTGGGGTTTCGGAAAAAATAAGAAGGATAAGAAAACAATGTAACATATGTATGAACATCCTTCAAACACAAAATGTACACTAATCTTTATGTTCTTTAATTCGAACATTTGAGAGTCTAGACGTTTCACCAATGTAAAATTTATAGCATTCACATGGTATTTTGTATATTATATTTTTGTTTGTTGTTCAGTATTCATTGGTTTAGTGTGTGATAAAATGGATCTAAGTGTATTTTGTGTTTTGAAAGATGTCATGACACCTAACCAACCCAAACCAATGAATACCTGGACAACAAACAAATACGTGTGAACAAATACGAGTGGTAAATTTTGTAAATTTAAAGGATTTCATTACACAAGTTTACAAATTCGCGTCAACTTTTGGACTCGAGCAGATGAGAACGATTCTTAACGTTATTTGATGCCCTGAACTCAGATCTTCAATCCGTTTGTCAAGATTGGCTCTAGTTTTCGACTTCGCGCATGGCAGTAGCAATGCGCTCTTAATGGCTCGGGTAGTTGACGACGTTGATACCACTTGTAAACCCACAAGACGTTTTACTGCCACCTCTTCACATTAAACTTGGCCTTATTAAGAACTTTTTCAAAGCGCTCATTGCGAAGGACCGGCTTTCCAGTACTTTTGTACCAAGTTGTTTCCAAAACTGTCGCAAATACGCAAAAATCAAAGAAGAAATATTTGTCGGACCTGATATTCGAAAAAACTAATGGCTGAAGCAACGTTTACAAAATGTTTAACGCTTGATGAGGCAGCAGCACGGGCATCGTTTCAAAGTGTTGTTCACAACTTTCTCGGTAATCATAAATCACCAGATTACAAGCAAGCAATCGACAATTTGTTGCAAAATTACCACAAGATTGGAGCTCGAATGTCTCTCAAGATACATTTTCTGCATTCACATCTTGATTTTTTTTCCACAAAACTTGGGCGACACGAGCGACGAGCAAGGAGAGCGGCTACACCAAGATATAGCGAAAATCGAAAGGCGATACCAAGGATTTTGGGACGAAGGCATGATGAGCGATTACTGTTGGGCCCTAATACGTGAAACAGATCCCAAGCAGTATAAAAGACTCAGCTCAACCTCTGTTCATTTCTGATTTATATTGTTTAATTCAATAAATGACCGTTAACGGTTAAAAATAGTAAAATAATGAATTTATTGAATATTTCGAAAACTAGAACCAATCTTAAAAAATGGACTGCTGATTTGGATTCAGCTCCAGAAATTATCTTAGAAATTGCTTTTAGTTGCTCCGGTCCAAAACCGTGTATACTTGTGTTACCATTTACATATTGTTGCGGACCCGTGTGAACTCGGCCTAAGACGCCCGGTGCCGTTCGAGAAGTGTTCGAGGACAAATAATAGAAACTGGGTGAGACGAAGAACGCGGCTAAGAATTTTCGAATCAAATCGGGACTGTCTGTTTCTATCATATATAAGCCGACGCCTGGAGCTTGAAGAGGACAGAGGACAAACAGGTCGTTCGACGTGTACAGTTGCCGCGCTAAATTCAAAATAAATTCCTTTTATATAAATAGATAATTCGTAAATAAATTATAAATAGTTCTTTAAGTAGTTTTATCGTTATTATTTGTGAGAACCTGCAGCTTTGATCCCCATGATTCAGGGATGTCCTTTGACGACTTCATGGCCCGATACAACAACAGTGAGAAGGCTCGCTATGGTGTGACCAAAGAAGAACAACGAGACCTCTTTTCCGTGCCTCCTGATTATTCGCTCGCTCACTGTCTGGCCCGAGATTTGCGGATGTCCAGAGGAATCGCTGCGACGTTCAATGAGAAGTTTGGGCGTGTCGGAGAACTACGCCGACAGGATCCAGAGGTCGGAAGCGTCTTGAGGCTAACCGACAATGCGCATTGTCAAGCAAGACACATCTTCTACCTAGTTACCAAGGAATGGTCCCCGAGTAACCGACTTATCTCAATTTATGGAAGACCCTGATAAACAACAACATTACACGATTAGCCATTCCGAAGCTGGCGTGTGGACTCGATGGTTTGAGTTGGCGTACAATCCGGAACATAATGGAAGTCTTGTTTAGATTTACGGGAATCGAGATCCTCGTTTGCTGCTACAACCCAAAGCTGAGATCGGGAGAGAAAACTGTAGACTGCTATTTCTACCAGACTTCTCAATGTACCAGGGGCCAGCTTTGCAAATATCTTCATTCACCGTGTACATCTCGGGACGAGCATGTATCTAAGAATGGGGCAGTGTTGCGGACCCGTGTGAACTCGGCCTAAGACGCCCGGTGCCGTTCGAGAACAAATAGAAGCTGGTGAGACGAAGAACGCGGCTAAGAATTTTCGAATCAAATCGGGACTGTCTGTTTCTCTCATATATAAGCCGACGCCTGGAGCCTGAAGAGGACAGAGAACAAACAGATCGTTCGATGTGTACATTTGCCGCGCTAAATTCAAAATAAATTCCTTTTATATAAATAGTTAGATAAATCTTAAATAAGTTATAAATAGTTCTTTAAGTAGTTTTATCGTTATTATTTTGTTACTTAGTGTTAAATAAATTGTGTTTAAATAAATTAGACTTTCTATCCACACACATAATATGATTTCCTGTGCGTCCTAATCCGCTGCATACCCCGGTATATGTTTAATAAAACGAGTTATGTACATGCTATGATTAAATCTGTAATAAAATACGTACCCAGCTTGTCAATCTTATCCAATCTGTCAATCTTATTGTCATTTAAAATCGAATCAACTAGCTGCATTGATTCAGTCAAACTTGTCGGTTCGGAATTTCGAGGCGATGTCATATCACTAAAATAATTGAAATTATTATATTATACAATACAAATCAAACAATTTTATGTTCAAGCAGGATATTCATACAGTCTATTTTACGAAAGATGACGATTCACAGTCAACATGTGTCTTCAAAAAATGACAGGCGTCAATAAATACAACAAGTTAGATAAAGAGGCTTTCCATTTTCATGCCTTAATATTATTACACATATGACAAAACACCCAGGTGAGAGATGTCATTCGCAGAATCAAATGCCTCAAGTGGCAATGATCAAGATACTTGGCAAGAAGGACGAACTACAGATGGACCACAAGAATTACAGCATGGTACCCACCAGGAATTAAGAGACCTAGAAGAAGCCCAAACCATAAATGGGATAATGATATTAAGAAATTAGTAGGGATATCTTGGGCCCGCATAGCCAACAATAGACAACAATGGACCCAATTACAAAGAGATTATCTAAATATGTGAGGGAAGCTTTACCATAATTGGACATGGTTGAATAAGCTGGGAATGATGATAGTACAGTCTGACAACCCAATGAAGGGAGGTCGAAAGAATGCGAGCAAAACACTTCCTTGCATTTTACGATGTTGTCACAATTTTCTCGTAATAATCCTAATTTATTTTGTATAGACTAGAAGTACAAATTTTAAATTTCTATTTCATTACTTAACCTTATGAATTTTCTCAGTAGTATTGTCTTCTGGGATTTGCTATTTTATTTACATGGGGAAATGCAGAATAAAATTACTATTACCAGTTATTCTTTAAAAAACTATTTCAAATATACCTACTACAAAATAGAACCGGCAAAAGCGCTGCCTCGGGCGATTTTTCGCCGTGGGCCAGAGTGAGAGGATGAGAGATTATTCCTAGGAGACAAAAAATTAAATTGTGTACCTACCTCAGATCGGAAGCCGTTGCCGAACTTTGGTCACAGGCGTAGGCGGAAAAAGTTCCAACTGTGTTTTTTAATTAGTAATAGTTGTTTGGTATGGTATATAATTTTTATTATTAATTAATATAGTATAATTTATAATTCGTTTATTTTGTTACACTTATTAACTGGACTCGTTTTTGGTTGTTTTGTGTAATAAAGTAAGTATTTGCATGAAAAAAATATGTCATATATAAATGACACATTTCCTAATACATTTATATTTGTAGGGTTTTCGCAATCCTTAAACCTTAAATAGTTTTTTTTTTAATAATGGAAGGAAATATTTTTTTACAAAGGAAACCCCTTGCTGGCCAATCTAGGGAAATTATCGCTAAGGTATATAGAGTTTGCGATGAAGAGGCCAGAAACAATGCTTTTAAATTACCCCTAAAAAGAAAAATTGATCGCGTGTCTCTATATATTGGGGTTTCTCAAAAAACAGTCCGCAAAATTCATAGAGAAGATGAGGAGCGGCAACGGGAACGTCCAGCTGAGATGCTGTCATCACCACCTAAGAAGAAAACCCGCTTGTCTCTTATGAAAGACTTCGAAGATTTTCCTGTCATTAGACAAACAATAAAAAAGTTTTATTTGGAGCTAAAAGTCGTTTCTGCATTTAAAAAATTACTCCTTAAGCTGCGAGAAATAATGAATTCTCCGTATAGTCGCGAAACATTGAGGATGCTATTAAATGCCAATGGATTTCATTTTCGGAAATGCTAAAAAGGATATGCCAAAAAAATGCCAAATGGAAAGACCCACGATTCTTCATTGGCGGTATAAATATATAAAGTCAATTCGGAAATACAGAAAAGAAGGATGTAACATAATTTACATTGACGAGACATGGCTGGATAATGATTTAACTTTTAGAAAATGTTGGCAAAGTAACGACGTTTTTGGAATAGTTAATAATATTAGGGCAAGTGGTAAGTTTTGAAACCAGTTTAATTTAATTTATTTATCTGATCATGACCATAAGAGTTTTATTTCTGTTTTTGGTAAAGTGAGGTCCATTAAGACTGCAACAAAGGGATTTTTATCAAACAATAATAACTCAACTTATTGCAAGTTAATAAAAAATATCAAGAATAAAGAATAGAGACATAAAAATAATACATTGCTTAAAATAAAAAATAAGCGAATCAAGTCGTATAATTTTTTTTAATCAGCTGCACCTAGGTATACAAAATTTTATTATTTGTTTTTTATTAGATAAGTACCTATTAGGTAGTCATTTGAAGTTTAAGACTCAGTTTAAAAAATACCAAAAATACCACAGCGTTCTTAGTTTATACCTAATATTATATTAAGTATATCTATTATTATCTAACTAAATAATTACCAAAATTTGTATTTACTTCCAATGTACTTATTAAAACTGATTAATATTTTTAATAATAATCTGATTAAAATAAATTTGCACGCCTATGACATGACTAGATTTTTTACACGCTTTCCCTCTGCTGCCTCAGACGCCGTTGCCCTTCATTCAGTTGTCGCACTGTATATGATTACAGTTGAGGGTAGTATATGATATAAGGTTGAAATATCTTAAATCTTACTGTAAATATTATTGACCCTGAATCGTCACCTTGACTAAAACGTCATTTAAGATTTAGTCATGTTACCTGTCAAAACTCGGATAATCATCATTGTCTCCGTCTTCATCTGAACTGTCATTATCTCGCTCTTGTCCTAAACTTTCCAACTTCTCCAATTTTTTAGCAACTTTAGCCGAAGATTTGAGCTTTTCTTTTTCTTCCTCTGTTAGTTCAATGTATCTAAAATAAGAAAGCTGTTGTAGTACAAAAAATAAAAGTAAAAAATAGAAAGTAATGAAATTCAATGTAATTTACCTCAACAATCTAACTTCCCTGTTACTCAAAACGACACTTTTGGTGGGTTGAGACAATTTAAGCCTTAATTCTTTAACCTCTGTCTCAGTTTTTCTTTGTCTTTTCTTTAGCTTCACATCGTCTGGATTTATATGTAGAAATATCTTAAACCAATCAGGAAATTAGTTTAGTATCTCATTTCAGGGTTTTGAATAGCTTTATTAAAAAACTTTATACATTAGTACCTGTTCATCACATAGCTCTACCATCAATTTCCTATTCTCCTCCTTAATAGCACTAACCATAGGATAATATATCTTGTCGTTAATCAAGCTCAAAACGTCAGCGGAAGCGTACAAAATCATTTCTCGAGTCAATGGCCTCCTTGACCAATACTTTTGATCGCGTCTGAAACATATTTTGCAACATTTTTAATAGATCAAAAGATTTAAGGCGGATTTTCATGCGTTAAATACCAACGATTTGTTAAGTTTATTGGTCGAATTTAAAGACTGTAAATTTATCTACAGTATGCCCCCGGATTGTCTTTACAAGAGGAAACACTTTTTTATTATTAACATTTCGAGAAAAATGCATTCTTCATAGAAAAATTTGCTTGTTCTAAAATGGTTAATCCCGTTTATACTTTTCCAAATTTCCGTCTGTCCAACGAAAATTTGGACAGATGCCATTCAAAAAATGACAGAAAAAACAATTTACTTATGAATTAAAATGACACAGGCACAACTGTCACTGTCTTGGATCGTTGAACAGAGTTATGTTCATAAAGCGCACGTAATAAAAAACTAATAACTAATAAAAACTATACGCGAAATCACTTAGACCAATCAATTCGATCATATCAACGTGTAACGGATGCATGAAATTCCGCCTTTATTTGAAATCATACCTATAGATATTTTTTAGCTGGTCCTTCATGGGATTCACAGATGCCCCGTAAATTTCACAGAGGGCGTTTAAAGCCACGCTTTTGGCCTTGTAAACGGGTCTACCGGATTCTTGATAGGTTAGAACAGCATGCGCAGCTTGAGTATCGAAAACACAATTCAAAGTAATGTTAAATTGACGAAAGAGATTCACTGAGTCGTTCCTGCAGTCGTGCACCACCTAAAATAAGTTTTTTTTTCATTAAAATATTACAATATAGAGGGTATTCCCAGGGAAGTTGACATTTAGAGAAAATAAACATACCTTAATGACATCTGTACTTTCCAGAATCCTTTTTAAACCAGCTTGAATCATTTCGGGGCATGAAATCAGGTCAAAGACGTAGGCAAAACCAGTCATTGTAGCTATTTGAGCAAGCGTCAATTGGCCTTTAACTCCCAAATTGATACCTTCACAGTCGAAGCCTACAACGACTTTGTTTTCTCTGAATGGCCAAGATTTATCTTCATTATTTGCAGAAGAGTTTTTTTGATCCTAATAAATTTAAATTGATTAAAAATAATAAACAGCATATATTAGTAATACTTCTATAAGGCTAGTATGTAATAATACATAACACAAATCGTCCAAGACTGTGAAATAGAAAACTCTATTCAAGTGGGAGAGCAAGAGAGACATATAGAGAGGTATACTGACAATCCTCGAAACGTCAAACGTTATAACCGATTGTATATCGCACTATATTAGTGTTGGGCGTTTTTATCGATGTTTCGCCAATAATTTCGATGCTTTTTTAACATCAGTATTAATGTTAAATATGCGATTTATACAAAGCAAAACTTTTAATAAAGAATGGATTTTTGTGCAAGTATCAATAATAAAAAAAATCCCCTTATAAAGGCTGGGTAAATAGTTAGGTTGATTTTTATATCCTTTATTTATCCTTGTTTATAGCGTTCTGCATGTTGTTGGCGTCGCACTCTCTTAGCAGATGCTTAAAGTTTTAACTAGCATTACAGCAGTATTACTTATATGGCTAAAAGTATACATAAAAATGTATAGAAAATTTTAATGTATCTACCTTATTATTTGTGTTCTTGAGACATAATTTCATCTATAACCATTTGACATTCTCTTATGTTGCTACATATAACTCTAGTGTTATGGAACAGCAACTTTCAGGCGTCGCTGTAAGGTTGCTGTTGATTTAGCATTGTTTGTCTATCCCTCCCTGCAAAATATATTTTATATTTTAGCCATTGAAACCTGAGTTCAAAAAATGTTATTGCTCAGTTACATTTTTATGCCCATTTATTAAAAAAATAAAAATATATATAAATTTATCCTTTATTTTAAGACTTTATTTATGAAAAAAGTAACTTCAGCATCATTGAGATGCCATATAGATTAAAGAAAATTATAGTTCTATTCTTTACCTGTATTTTCTTGTAAGGTTTTTAACACCAAACTGTTAATTCTTTGCTTCAATGTTTGGTTGTTGTTTGTGGGTTTCGTTGGCGGCAATTTTGTAGATTCTGTTTCTTGAGACACTGGAAGATCTTGAATTTGGGGATCCACAGGCTTAGACGTTTTACCTAATGAGATACAAGTATGAATAAACTATAAAAACTTCTTCTTGACTACAAATTACTGATATACAGGGTGGCCCATTAGTGCAAGGAAGTTAATATTGCCATTGTTTGTTTTTTTTTTTTCATATAGTTCAAACCTATTAAACTTTTAGTCACTTGATTAAGCCTGACCGGTACAACTTTTACATACTTTGTTTCAATCAAAATATTTTAGAAAACAAAAAAAATTATATATATAAAAATTAATATTTAAACAGTTATTATTTACCATCAACAAAACTCACACAAGAACATCACTTAAGAGACATAAAGGACCATTACTACCGCTTTCGCGTTCAAAATATTCTAATAAAGTTGCAATGAACAACGGCTATTAAGCTACCTTGTACCCACTGTTCGTACTAAATGAGGTTCTAAAAAGAACAATGTTCGACTGCAAGGTCTGCTAGTAAACGTTTTTAAGCATAAAGTATCACAACATAAGTCATTTAAACCAAAAACTTGTAATACAAAACTAAAGTGTCAAATGAATGACAATGTCAGGAAATAAATAAATAAATGTGGTAACTTGACATTTTTTACAGCATAGCTACCACCTGAATCACCAGCGGGAAATTTAAATTCCAGTTAGTCAGCCTTGCGCCCAATATGTCAATGGTTGGCAACAATGAATTTAAAAATCGCACCCTCGATTATGTAACTAAAAGTTTAGTTGGTATCGCTTATACAGGTTGTAAATTTGTTTATACTCGCGGCAAGAGCTTTATGGTTGAAATATGGCAACCTCGGTCCGCTCGTCGATAGACGACGCGACGCGACGGGACGAGTCGCAGAAAACCCTATAAGTGCATGCGTTCTCAATAGGCAGTGTTGACATTCTGTTCCCCTATAAGTAACTGTCCAGTTAACAATCTGTATAAATGTTGCATGGTTTATAAAGGAGCATATGGTACAAATATATTGTTATATACACAGTTTCTCTAAAAAAATAATGATCAAGTTGTAAGCAAATAAATTATTTATGCAATTAAGACCCTTAATGGTCTCACATGTCTTAACACTCTGCCTTCTTGACCAAAAAGTACTGATGTATATGAAGAATATACAGTACAATTAAAAAAAAAGTGTCACAGTAACCTCTAAAATGACGATATTTTTGTGTAAGTTATTTTTTGACACTAAATAACCCTACCTAGCCTGAAGTCGACGCCATTTTTATCCGGTACTATCGCTGGTTCGGGGCTCAAAGACTTCTGTTGCTTTGCTTCCATTTGTTTTTGCTGCAATTTCGGTTGCCTAAGTCTATCGCTTATGGATCTTGGACTAGATGGAGCGTTTTGCGGTGGAGGTATTGGCGACGTTGGAGAAATATTCTCTTGACAATTTTGACTAGTTATTTTTTCTATCGAATTTTTTTCTTGTGGCTCCACTTTTATAATATTTCTGGCATTTTTTACCTCTTCATTGTTAACTTGTTGCTCTTTTACTGAATGTTCTTTGATTAAATCCATCTAAAATACGTTTAAAAAATCTATGTCAAATATTTTGATGACGTGCACGCCAAGTTTTCAGTGTTGCCAAACGTAGCGGAGTTACCCTAAAATGGCGAATTTTTAGCCCTTGTAGCGGAATTCGTGCCCATCAAAAAAAAATTGTTGTATTTCAAGCAAACTAAGAAATAATTATATAATTCGGAGTATAATTTCGTTTATTAATAAAATTTACTAATATTTAATTATTTTTTCGTTACCGTAATTTTATTAAGGTAAACTCAGATAGTAGGATCTTTCTGTAGCGTGTAGCGAGATTTTGAACACGCCGTGATAGGATATAAAGCGCTAAAGAGTTGGCAACATGGCAAGTTTTGTTGATTTTCATATTTTCTATATTACCTGAGCGGTTATATGTTTCTGACTAATTTTTGGAGTTTGCAATAAAGTAACTAGATTCGATTGTATATGAAAACTGTCAGAGAACAGCCTCAGAAAGCTAGACAACTGTATAGGTGTATTAAACAAATTGGACCAAATACTTTCAGGAAGATTACAACTGACAATTTGGAACAGCTGTTCGACTAAAATGGGGCCCTAAAAACACAAAATAATCTCATAAAACAATCCTTATAAAGCTCAGAAATAATTTTATACAGGTGGAGCCTCCTATACGACGCGAAGGCTACAAGGAGAATGACAGTTTGTATTGAAATAAAACTTTGGAAGCCTATGGATGTTAATTGCAAGTATTTTATAAAAATGTAGAGGACTACAGGATGTCCCAGAAGTTACACATTAAAGTTTTTTTTTTCTAATTTTTAATTGATTTTCGGATTTCTTGGAGCTTAAGCTTAGTATGGGAAGAGCCACCCTGTATAATGAAGTACCTTAACTTCAATACATTGAGCTAAAAAATCCAAAAGCGTTTGAGTGTCCTGAGGGTCTATTTTGACATCCGGCTGAAAATGAAGTTCCATATTGGGGCAGTGAGACCCTAACCCTAAAATTTTGTTATATATTACAAAATAGCTTTTATACTGGCGGTAAAAATTCTACCTGAGTGTGGTTGGCTAAAATTACTGACATACCGTCAATGGTGAAAGTTTCCGGATATTTAAATAAAAAGTCTCTGAACTCGTGACGCATCTTTCGATAGCGCAAATTTCTGCCTGAAGGATACTGGGGTAGGTGCCCATTGGTTCGGAGTATTCAGTTTTCGGCCCAAATACTCCTATCCCTGTCCCTGCTTTAGTTTTGGAAGCATCAGTATACCACGTGATGGTATGGTCTTTTATATGCTGAGTAAGCGTTTCTTTCTACCAATCCTTTTTATTACTCAATACTACAGTGAGGTGTTTCTCAAAGTTGTAAATTCTTGGTATGTCATCCAATGGGAGTTGGAGAAGTGGAATTTTCTTTTTGAGGGTGTTCCAAGCCCCTGACCTGAAAATTCTCCCAGTACTGTTTCCGTCAGTAACAATACTACAATATACTTTAGATAAAGAAAAATTAACAACTTAATAAGTAATAATAACAACTTAAAGCAAAAACAGTAAAAAATTAAAATTGTTCCGTAAAGGATACAAAAATTAATAAATTAAATTATTGTGTAATTCTATATCCGCTCAACATATAAGTTTTTAATTTTGTTTTGAAAGTGAACGTCTTTAAATCAAGGGAGTATAGATTCAAGTTGGAATTGTACATCTTGGATGCCAGGTAGGAGAACGAACGCTGATATAGCGCCGCCGTGCGATGTTTGGGAATTTCCATATTATTGCCGTTATTACACTGCCTTATAGCATAGTTAGAGTGTCAAAATTTAAGTTTATTAGTTAAATACTCAGGAAAACCATTCCGCAAAATTCTGTGTAAGAAACATGCAAAATGTAATTTTTGTCTGTCTTCAATATTTAGCCAATTCAACATATCTAGTTTATATGTAACGTGGTCTCTCGATCTTAATCTGTATATTAAGCGAATACATGAATTCTGTACCTTCTGTAACTGCCTCTTAGATTTTTGATCGAGACAAGGCCCGTAAACAAAATTACAATAATTGGTCTGTGATAATATAAGAGCCTCACATAATTGCTTTTTTAAATTGTAGTTTAGCAAATCTTTGTTTTTGTATAGGTTTCTTAAGGAGATGAATGATGCCCTGACCACTTTACTCACTTGGTGTAATTGGTGTAATGGTGAAATGGTGTAATTCTTTTGTGGTTTCTATGAAATGTGCATCGTCTACAGTTATTTTTTATACCTAATTAAAGTCTATATGTATAAAAAGTCTAAAAAACTTAGAACTTTTGTTTAAGTGCTTCTTGGTTAGTAAGTCTTGGTTATTTCCAGCATATTTTGTTCCATTGAGCATTGTGCGACCTACTGTCTCCTTATAATGTCCGTCTTAAGTGTCCAGATTTCGCACGCATAGGTTATGACTGGTAGTACAGGGTGTCCCACTAAGAATAGCTCTCGGCTGTATCTCGGAAAATATTAACCGTAGAGCCTACGGAAAAAAAATATTAATAACTAAAGGGGCTATGAAAAATTGCTGAAAATTATTTTCAAGTTTGTAAAACGGCCGCTAGAGGGCGCAACTGCTATGGAAAATAAGAAAATAGAATTTTTACAGAATTTTGCCTAGATAATGGGTACTATAAATAATAGCTTCATAATGTTCACTAAATTTTGGATTTTTTTTTATTAGAACCATTTTTTCCTCTCTGTTAAAATACAGTGGTGGGGGAAGGTTAGATCTATCTTTATTTAAATGTTAATAACTCCGGACTGGATGACCAGAATCCAACAAACTAGGGCTCGTTTAAAAGAGCGTTTCTTACTCTATATTATACCATAAAAAAATAATAATAAGGTCTTGAACGTAGACGCTAGGGGGCGCTTTCTTACAATTTAACAAACATAGCGCATTTAATTAAATAGATTCTAAAATGAGTTTATTATGATGCTTAATATTTTCATACTAATTTATTGTAATAAAATAGGCCCAGTTCCGTTACCCTGGCCCCAAAATTTATGAAATAACTTAATTACTAGCCAGTTGTTGAAATAAGTTGTTTGTGAATTTGTACGTTCGGCATCATTCGGGTGAAAATCGAAGTTCCTTCGGCTCGATACGTTTGCGTTTTGTACGTACGTAAAGGCACGTAAAGATACGTATCACGTATCCGTAAACGCAAGTGAATTTCTCACTGCGCAAGCGTACATGTCAAACGATACGTTTACGTCTACGTCTTTGGCCGTACTTTAACTGTCTAATATAAAAGACTACGTACGTCTGCATGGTACGTCCGGATCCATGGTACGGATCGGGCCAGCGCGATCGATGCTAGGCAGGAGTGGGGAGTGCCAGCCGTATGTTATCGGATCCGGACCTAAACGAACTAAATAAAAGACTAGTTTACGTATGGATCAGCCAGCGCGATTGATGCTAGGCAGGCGTGGGGAGTGCCAACCGTATGTTATCGGATCCGGACATAGAGGAACTAATTAAAAAACTAGTTCACGGGAATCTATTCAGTCGGCAGATCCGAGATATAATACAAGGCGTCCACAATGGATTCGGCCTTGTCTATTGCCACAGCCGGCGTAATTACCACCGAAAATTGCCGTGGATACTGTTTTTGATTTTTAGTTTGTTTTTTAAATATTTTATGGGAATGTTTCACTTTAGGTCCCTAAAATTAAAAAATATCTTATAAAACGAAGTAGATATTCTGAAATTTTAGACAAAAACAAAAAGCTTGAAGTGAGGAAAAATGCATTTTTTCGTAAAATTTTTGTAATATTTGCTCCAATTGATTTGTGATATAGTTTTTTAAACTCTGATTTGAGCTTATTTTTATTTTTTTATCTGCAATAAAACTTACCTATATATTTTTAACATACACAATTACACGTTTCGTTATATCTCCCTACATTATAAAAATTATACAGATCATACTGTGAATAGTTCTGACTGACAACGAAACGCATTAGCAAGCAAGGGGGATGTCAATGTTAGTCGGGAACTAATGTGAACTAAAGACCTAGTTCAAGGAACTATTCCTCTAGAGGAACTAGAACTAAGGAACTAGTTCCTCCCAAGGAACTAGAATTCCCACCTCTACTTTCTCCTTTCTTCTCTAGGCATTCTTCGCCCATCCTTATCTCTTGTAGATTACAGAGACACCCCGTACATATAAACAGAAAATCAGTAAATAACCACGCCCAATATATTGCAGGTCTGAATGAAAGGCGCAGGTCTAGGCTCCAATCAATAACCACTGGTTGTAGTATTTCCTTCATTCATGAAAAACCGTCGACCCACAAAAGCAGCAAACATCTTTTTACCCCAAATTATTTCGACCTATAAATGTCTAATTTTACGTAAAGTATTGTTAAAACGGTGTGACAAATATAAGTACTGATTAAATTATAAGTTATAACATTAAGCGATCTGTTTTTATTATTATAATGCGTTAAAGAAACTACAGTGATAACTAAAAAGCAACAGAACCAAATGGTGCTAACAAGTAGCTAATAGGACATTCTGTATAAATCGATTGACAAAGAATTTTAGAAAAAATAAATTATATATCCTTATAATCGAGGTAAAAAAAGGAATTGAGAATGATATCAGGAGAGAACAGTTACATTTTAGGAAACAGGAATCAGTATTCACAATTCTCAGAGGACAGGGTAAGTATACACAGGGTGTACTATTTTTAAGGTAAATGCTCAAACATCTAAAAAACAATAGAATTGGTAAATAAAAAACATCCAAAGACTAATGGATATTTTTTAATATTTTTCATTAAATAACATATTTTAACGATATACAGGGTGAGTCTTAAAATAAATGCAAATATTTTCAGGGCTGGTAGATCTCGAATCTCAATAAAAGAAACATTTTCTCTTTACAGTTTTTCAAACAAGACCAAAATAATCGAGTTATTCAAATTTGAATACCTTTAAAAAAATATTTATTTTTAAAACAGGTTTGGAAGCCACCGGCTTTTTTCTGTATTTGCATCCATAAAATAATTAACTAGAAAGAAGTGTCAACTCTGTGTTAAATCGTGGAAACACGATACGCCACCGAAAGCCTTGGTTGTCGTCTGGAGAACTAATTTTCCAATTGACAGGTTGACATGATGGCGTCATTTTTATTTCCGTTTCCGGTTATTCAATGGCGGGCCCTCTTTTAGTTTAAATGTACTTTGTACTCTTTCTTATCATAAATAAAACAAAACAAAATTTTATTCAAACATATTTATTTGAAATATGAGACAACGTGACTAAATAAATATAAAAAATAAAGCATTGAATGATTTCTACAGCAATTACTTAATTATATGCAATTTTAACGTAAATTAGTAAGGTATAAGCATGACTTACAGTAATTTGTAAATAAATACACGTATTCACAGCCATCAGGGACAGAAAACTGGGGCAGGAACATAAAAACGGGAGCCTTATACAAAAACCTGAAAACAGAAAAACAAATTTTTTTATACAAAAAATTAACAATGTAAAAATATCAATAGGTATAAAATCGTCCATTATTCCCAAAGAGACCTGGCTTATAAATCAAAAAGAAGCAAAAAGAAACTTTTAGTCGGATAACATAATCATATTATCAGTCCGATTTATTGCATTACTGACAATAAATCGCACATACTGGAGATAACTAATGTTGGCTATAGTTAAAAATGATCTTACCTTGCTGTAAATTGTTTCCATTTTCAAAAAAATCGCCGATCAAAGAGATTGTAACACCATTTTCTTGCATCTAAAAATGTAAAAACAGTGTTTATTTACTACCTATTTTTCATATACATAGGACATACCTACTACTGCAGAAACGTCATTTTCTCCAGGATTCTTCATGTAATATATATTTTATATACTTTATTACCTTTATATTTATAAATTTCAGCCGAAATATTAAATTGAACTTCCAAAACGAAACTAAACGGAATGAATTAAAATGGCGTCGAATATTTTCTAATTTGTTCTAGAACAAATCTGAAGTTGTCTCTGAAACTGAAATCTGTCAATTCTAAGCTGTGAAGTTAGGCAATAGTTAGACAGAAACATTGCTGTCCTTGTCTAGGCGGCCATACTTGTCGTCAGGAGAATGACAGGAATGACACTAATGACTGTTTCCAATTTTCCTATTTCACTGTCACCCCCCTTTTGCATACCTTTAGTGTCTTAACCATAGATTTAAACCGTATATAACCATAGTAATATCAGAGATAACAAATTATACAGTGGGAAAATTTGCGGTGAACAAGTAGTTCTAAAAAGTTTTTTAAAATATACAGGAAAATTTAAAAGAAAATACACAATTTCAACATTTTTTGCGAAAGAAAACCATAGACGTGGTCCTGGGGTCGAAATATACCATACTGAAAAGTATTTGCACTTATTTAAGACTCACCCTGTATATAACAAAAAAATTACCGAGATAAAATGCAAACATAACTGTTCAAGTTCAAATAAAAATAAATAGAGGGTGCCCCAAATTCGAAGGTAACCATTGGAATCTCAATTGACACTATCGAATTTGGTATACCCTGTATATCGTTGTGTTTAATTTAAATATATTCTATAAAATGACCAAAATTTTAGGGAAGTAGCATTGACTCACATGAAAATGCATTCGATGATATGAAACAACTCATAACGGTAACAAATTATTAAATATAATTTATTTTTTTTATTATAAATGTTCTGTTGTTTATCACGTAGGAAGAAGAAAATGAGAAAAAATCTTCCCTGCACTATGCCAGTTTCAATTTCATCAACTCAATCATAGGTAGCGGTGTAATAGGTAACTGTTTATATTACAGTAGAAACCCACTATAGCAAAACCGTAGATCAGATCATATACACGGTGGCCCATTAGTGCGAGAAAGTCCAATATCGTCGTTGTTAACAAAGATATGAAAAGAAATTTTATACAGATGTTGTTTAACATGGTTTATAATGGTATATTTTGTTATATACAGGGTGTCCCAAAAAAATTATGATAAAGTTTTATTTTTTTTTAAATTTAGAAAAGTATTCGTACCACTTAAAAAAAAAACTTTAAACTCTTTACTTTAGATTTTTTTTTGAGACGCCCTGTATATAACAATATATTTTTAGTATATGCTCTTTTATAAACCGTGCAACATCTGTATAAAACTTTTTTCATATCTTCGACAACCCGGACAACGACGACGATATTGGACTTCCTCGCACTAATTGGCCACCCTGTATACCTTACGTGAATATCAACACCATAAGATCAGCATTTGCGTCGAACAAACGTTGCAGGTTAAACGTAGTGTTTCGACAGCATGTTTGAACAAATTTTAGAAGTGCATAAACTGGAAAAACTGCGTCAAAAGTTTAAATTCCTGGACGTAGATTTTGGCGGTTTGCACAGACAAGTGTGGACGCTTCCAACGATTTGTTTGTGGTTTTATTTTAATTTTAATTTTAGTCAGCTAAGACAACTAATCAAATATAAATAACGAGTTTCTCAGTGAGTTTAGTGATCTGTACAAGAGTTTCCTTTGCTTCTGGCGAGTAAAATCAAAATAATACAGTGGCAGGGAAAAGAAAAATCAGCCCTAGGAGATTATTATTGAAAAATTCATGGACGTAGACCCTGAGGCGATTAGGGATACAGTAACGAAAAAAATGAGCTTATGGTGAAAACTCAACGACAACTCGTTGTAATGTGAACATAACTTGGTCTGTACGTTTTAAGGATGATTCACGGTACACTGTGACGGGCCGGAGCCGTGCGACGATGAAGGCACGGCCAAACATTGTCAAATGTTATTTATACTTATACATTCATGCTAAGCCGAGCACGGTCCGAGCTTCGCCGGAACGCGTCCGTGCCCTGTCCAAGAAATGTCGGTGTACATTTTTCCTCGGATCCGCTACGTTCCGGCCCCGTTGCGGCACACATAAATGAGCCGCCGCGGCTAAATACTTCGTTCGTCTACGGGCCTATAGCGACTGTTTTCTAGCAGTGTTGCCGCACCCAACTTTTAGCGCGTACCACATTATAAACTAAAAATGTACCACTTTGGTACAATTTTTTAAAGCACAACAAAATACATCTGCAAATGACTTTAACCGGTTTGATCGTTGTGAATTTCTTCATAAATTTCTACATAAAAAAACTTCCTGGAGAAAGACACAAATCGAGACGAAAAACATGAAATAGAAATTCAGAAAACCCAATTATAAGTATGTATAGGTTGAAGAAATGTAAGTAATTCTAATACTACACACTACTTGGAAAACTTAAATTTTATTAAAAAAAACGCAAATATAGAAGCATGTTAGAAACAGCAAATTTTTAAGTTTTTTCTGCGGGTTATTTAATATAGGCAACCCTATAGACATTACAACGTTTATAATACGTCGTTAATTAATGCGGATTGTCTCCGAATGGTATCGGTAAGCGCGTTTAATGCAATATCAACGACGATAATTATTAAATATCTATTCATTTTCGGTGCGCGTGGGAAATAATTATTGTACCGAATCATCCTGGATTTGAAAATGAAGTACCACTGTACCAAATAGAATTAAAAGTATCAAATTTGGTACAAATGTACCACTGCGGCAACACTGTTTTCTAGAATATAATCGGCACGGACATAATCCCCGTTGTCCACTCGGTGTTGCATATATTGAAGGCTCGGACGTGGCTCGGTGTCTACTTTACGGAACGTGCCCGGCTCGGGTACGGTCCGGTGTACCGTGAATCATCCTTTATGTGCAACGTTTTGTTGGCGCAAATAAATCCTACGTTAAGTTGTTGCATGTGGGCCCCGCTTTAAAGCATTCCTATAAAAAAATTAAGATTTAACATACTCAATTTCAATTTTAAGGCATTCCATACGCTCTACACGAGGCAGGTTTCGGGTTTGGCCTGTTTCTCTTAATCCTGGTTGCCTATATCACGGATTATTCCTTAATTTTGATGATAAAAGCTGGACACATCAGCGGAAGGTTCTCTTATCAAGGAATAATGGAGGCAGCCTTCGGAAGACCGGGATATATATTATTGGGAACGCTACAGTTTTTTTATCCCTTTATTGGTAAGTGTAGTCTACAGGGTATTTCAAAAAATATGGTGCCATCCCTCTTGAGATTCCTCACGTAAAAATAACGTTTAGCCGACCATACCAATAGGTATGGTAGGCTATTAAGATCGTCAAAAAAAAGTTTTTATAACTTCACTCAAAATGAGACTAAATACAAAATTATTTTTATTATTATATCATAAATGGCCTAAACAAAATATTTTCATGGTGTCTGTCTGTCTGTCCGTCTGTCTGTAACACGATAACTCAAAAACCGCTGAGCCGATTTTAACCAAATTTGGCACAAAAATACTGTGGCACCCGAGAATCTGGCTATTAGTTTTTGGTGGTGGTGGGGGGTTGGTAAGGGGGTATGGGAGGGGGTTAAAAATTTTAAAAAATCGTAACGCGGTTTTCAATTTAAGATTAGGAATTGCAACAAAATTTGTAATAACATCAAAATCAGTCAAAGTCGCAGTTTTTGAGATAAAAAAAAATTGGAAAAATTCCTTTACTTTGAAACTAAAAGAACTGCCTGCCAAGTTTTTATTAACATATTTTAGTATGGGCGGCTTATACGTGCTTATACGTGCCTCCCGGCGCCATTTTTTTATATCAACAGAGGTCCTATTCTGCTTTTTTTCGTAGCTACAAAGAAAGGTATTTTGCAAGTGCATAGTGCATGGTTCTTCCAAGTGCTTTTAGCGATTCGAATGAAACTTTGAGGGTAAAAGTTACATAAGTGCGATATATCAGGGACGTGCATATGGGTTATCACCTGGAATATTTTTCTAAAAAAATATGTGCGCCACTGACTCTTTTCTCTTGTTAGCAAAATTGTGTAGATCATTTAATTCCGATTAAAAGTTGTCTCTTGATATTTTGTCGATTTCAGTCTCCATGATGAGATAAACGCAATTTTATTAATTTGCCTTAATCCAAGTCTAATAGCAAACTTGACTAACAGCAAACACCCTGTATAATTTGGAAAAATATGCGAAATGATTGATTTTAATTTATTATTTTTTTTCAGCAATGGTATCTTACAATGTGGTAGTAGGAGACACAGTAACGAAAGTCATAGTGAGAGTAGCCGATTTGGGACCTCATAATATTTTTGCCAAAAGAGAAGTTATAGTTTTGATAGCAACAATTTTAATCACTATACCGTTATGTCTATACAGAGATATTGCAAAGTTGGCCAAAATATCGTTTTTTAGTTTAGTCTGTATTGGATTTATTTTGTTTTCCATATTACTCAGAATCGGAAAATTAAGTGAAATAGTGTAAGTACCGTACGATCGAAAAAAACGGCGTCAAAGATGGCTGGGGAATGATAATCGATCGTAATTTTGGCGAGGTAACTCTCTAGACGCAATTTACTAAAAATTGACAAAACATATTTTCAAAAATTAACACTAATGATTACAAAAAAAATTAAAAAGGATAGAACGAGGGATAGAACGTTTCCAGACAAACAACGCGGGCTAAGTAAATGACGTCTAGGGCTTGACCTCGCCAAAATTATCATCGATCGTCATGCCTCAGCCGTCTTGGACGCCGTTTTTTTTTCGATCGTACGGTATTATTAATAATATTGATTTCTAGTCCTCCACATTCACACTCATGGAGATTTTTTAACACGGATATCATACCGGCCATTGGAATTATGGCATTTGGTAAGTGGGATATTGTATTTAATAATATTCTAATTATACAGGGTCTGGCAATAGTGTGTCGAGCATCTGTAGCTCGTAGAATAAAAAAATGAGAATTTTGTTTAAGTGCAAACCTAAAGTATGTATTAGGATGTAATTTCAGTAAAATATTTTAACTTCTATAGGGTGGTCCAAAAAAGTGTGAGTGGATCGGGATGATTTTTTTTAAATGGAACACCCTTTAAATTCTTTAACTAACCTAATATTAAATAATGTATTACTTTTTTAGCTTTTATGTGCCATCACAACACCTTCCTGATATACAGTTCGATAGCGGATGCCAATGAGAAAAAATGGGAGACCATAACGCATGCTTCTATCATAACCAGCTTAATTGTGGCTTGTTTGTTTGGTATTGCAGGATACTCCACATTTAAAGCTTATTCGCAAGGTAAGTACCATTAAAAAACAACAGAATATTAAAAAAATGTTCATTTTTTATCTAGCATGATATGATCTTGAGAACCATTACTTAAGAGACATTTTTACGTAGAAAATTACTGAAATGTATATTTTTTCACTCAGTAGTTTTATACAGGTACGGACGAAAAGTTATTACTCTATTAAAACAGTTTAAAACAATGTCGGTGGCGCCCCCTACAAGTAGGTGTCATATTGACATCGAAATCAAATTTATCATGTCAAAAAACACCCAGACACCAACTTTTATCCAAATATCGACGTTAGTTCAGAAATTATTTGGAAAAAAACCGAAATAAAAATAAAACTTCTACACCCTGTATCTCCGAAACGAAGCATTTTAAGACACACATTCATACGAACTTTTTTTACTTATTTTTATCTGCAAAATATGCTGCTGAAGTTTCCCGAATAAAATTAGGACCACCCTGTATACATATGAATTTATATGAGGAATTTCCCAGCATACTGGATGACGTTTTTTTTCGATCATACGGTATATTAGTTCCATATACGATCGAAAAAAGCGGCGTCAGCGATGGCTATAAAATGAAAATCGCTGTCCTTTTTTTTGTATGTATGTAAAATTATATGGTAAATGTCATCGATCGTCATTTCCAAGCCAACAGGACCCCGTTTTTTTTCGAGCATACTGTATATTATAGAGAGAAGACCAGGCTACTATTAACATAGCAAGTTGCCGGACGAATTTACGTTTACCCGATTTGCGTTCGTACTCGAGATTCACTGCCGGCTAGTCGGCTGGTCAGACAGTACGCAGTTGCAGTTGTGCTTGGACGGGTCGGTCGTGACAGACTAGGAATACGATGCGAGGAATGCCGAGTATTTATTATTTTCATTTTAAGTGTTTACCTTCACTTAAGGTAACATTTAAAATAAAAATACTTAAATATTTATTATTTGAGTGTGTTTACAAACCAAAACTAAAAATAAATAAATTCTCTAAACCCCAAAAAAAACTAAAATATTACCCTAAATAAAAAAAAGTTATAACAAGTGTTCAAAAATACCATCTTCTTGTGCTAGACAGAAGCCTAGGCGGTCGTAAAATCCCCGTCTGACATTGGCTAACATATTAGAGCTAATAGTTTGGAAAGCCTCTCGTATTTTTACTTGAAGGTCATCCAGATTATTAGCCCTATTATGACCATACACTTTGGATTTTACATAACCCCACAAAAATAAGTCATTGGAAGAAAGATCTGATGATCTAGCGGGCCACAAAATAGTTCCATATCCACTAATTAAACGGTTGAGAAAAGTATTGTTCAAATATTCTTGAACAATACGGGCATTGTGGGCAGGGAAACCATCTTGTTGAAACCAGACATTGTGGAATCTTTCTCCCAATAACTCACGAATTCTAGGCACAATCTGCTGTTGTAACAAGTCCAAATACTTTGCAACAGTTAAATTGCCCGCTATAAAAAATGGACCAATCATATGCTCCCCTACAACACCACCCCAAACATTTAGCTTTTGAAGATATTGCGTGCGTACCTCAAAATATTTGTGCAAATTTTCCCGAGACCAATATCGTACTTGTGTAGGGTTATGACGACTCAATAAATGAAAACTTGATTCGTCGGTGAAAACTATACGCCGAATAAAGTTTTCATCTAAATTGGCCTTTTTCCATTACAGATTCACAAAACGCCATACGCCGAAATTGGTCTTCATGGAAAATTTCTTGAGTTTTGCGCGCTTTATACGATCGGTATCCATTCTTTTTAATTACTCTTTTAACCGTGCTAGGTGAAGAATCTGTTACCTCAGCAATTTGATTACTTGAAAACGTGGGATTTTGATCCGCGGTAGCGGCGTTACTTGCTTTAACTCCATGGTACAAAGAATACAAGGTATGATATTGCGCAGGTTGGTTGCTACGTCACAGGTGATAACAGGCGCTATTGGTCAGCACGCCTCGCGCGCCAGTTCAAATCGTCAAGATATTGTTATAAACCTGTTTTTTTGTTTATATACCGTCATTGAATTATCGCTAAACAAGTTACTGTGGAGCAGTTCATAAGGAGTTGGGCTAGGGAAGCGAGAGACCGGAGTTCGAATCTCGGCTGGGACATAACTTTATTTATTTTTTTAAATATCATTGTTGTATTTCTATAGTTTATTTTGTAGTATAAAAAAAGAACTATTTATTCTGTGATTTTTAATCTCCGGTATTAATATAAATTGATTGTTGGTACAATACTCATTTAATATAAAATAATATTCTACTTTTTGAAATGTATCGGGTCCTAATTGTACCTAAAAGTAAAATATATTTTTACTGATATACCATATTGTAAACTATTTAATATTTCAGTCACTTAAAAAGTTAATTTGCATTGAATAATTGCCTACCATTAAAGGAAATTTGAGCTTATAATCCTTTGATGGGCATCTTCCTCTAAATTTTGGGTTTCTGTTCAACCGATTTATTCTCAAAACCTGAAACATCTACATATAAAAAAGAAGCACAGGTCACTAATTATAATAAACTTCACCCCTTGGAATTACTTCCAATTAATTATAATAAACTTCACCCCTTTGAATTACTTCTATCACAATTACAATACATTCATCTGCATTGGCATTTTCTACTGTTCAATGGGAAAAACAATAAACTTTCCAACATTTTTTAAATGATGTAACAATTCCTCTTGTGGTTACTTTTCCATAGATATCCTCATCTCTGTCCTCATGTGAATTCAGAGGCAATGAACATGAAAATTATTTACTACAAACATCGCAAACTAAAACCTAATAAACAATTTTTAAAAACCTAAATAAACAATATAGAAATAAATTTAGTATTCTTACCTATTATCGTCCAAACCATGTTAATAGATAATTATTATTTTTAAATATATTTTGGAACTGCTGGTTTTAGTAATTATTAAATTAAACGAACTAAAAGTCTTTAAAAATGAACAATTCTTAACCATAACCCCGAAATTGGTCTTCATGGAAAATTTCTTGAGTTTTTTGCGCGCTTATACGATCGGTATCCATTTTTTAATTACTCATTTTAACCGTGCTAGGTGAAGAATCTGTTACCTCAGCAATTTGATTACTTGAAATTGGAGTTTTGATCGCGGTAGCGGCGTTACTTGCTTTAACTCCATGGTACAAAGAATACAAAGGTATGATATTGCGCAGGTTGGTTGCTACGTCACAGGTGATAACAGGCGCTATTGGTCAGCACGCCTCGCGCGCCAGTTCAAATCGTCAAGATATTGTTATAAACCTGTTTTTGTTTTATATACCGTCATTGAATTATCGCTAAACAAGTTACTGTGGAGCAGTTCATAAGGAGTTGGGCTAGGAAGCGAGAGACCGGAGTTCGAATCTCAGCCGGGACATAACTTTATTTATTTTTTTAAATACTGTTGTATTCTATAGTTTATTTTGTAGTATAAAAAAGAACTATTTATTCTGTGATTTTTAATCTCCGGTATTAATATAAATTGATTGTTGGTACAATACCTCATTTAATATAAAATAATATTCTACTTTTTGAAATGTATCGGGCCCTAATTGTACCTAAAAGTAAAATATATTTTTACTGATATACCATATTGTAAACTATTTAATATTTCAGTCACTTAAAAAGTTAATTTGCATTGAATAATTGTCTACCATTAAAGGAAATTTGAGCTATATAATCCTTGATGGGCATCTTCCTAAATTTTGGGTTTCGTTCAACCGATTTATTTCTCAAAAACCTGAAACATCTACATATAAAAAGAAGCACAGGTCACTAATTATAATAAACTTCACCCTTGGAATTACTTCCACTAATTATAATAAACTTCACCCTTGGAATTACTTCTATCACAATTACAATACATTCATCTGCATTGGCATTTTCTACTGTTCGATGGGAAACAATAAACTTCCAACATTTTTTAAATGATGTAACAATTCCTCTTATGGTTACTTTTCCATAGATATCCTCATCTCTGTCCCTCATGTGAATTCAGAGGCAATGAACATGAAAATTATTTTACCATAAACATCGCAAACTAAAAACCTAATAAACAATTTTAAAAACCGAAAATAAACAATATAGAAATAAATTTAGTATTCTTACCTATTATCGTCCAAATCCATGTTAATAGATAATTATTATTTTTAAATATATTTTTGGAACTGCTGGTTTTAGTAATTATTAAATTAAACGAACTAAAAAGTCTTAAAATGAACAATTCTTAACCATAACCCCAAAAATGCGGATCTCCTGTCAACTTTCTTATATTTTTTATTTGTTCATTATTTTCCTAGTGACGTCACAGGTGGTATGCGCGAACTGAACGAAATTGGAGCCGCTATCGATCATACCTTGTATTCTTTGTACCATGCTTTAACTCCTGTTCTTCATTAATCAACACATCAGGCTTTCTGTGTTTTTGTGGGGACACGCACCCATGTGTTTCAAAATTATTTATAACTCTATAACTAAATAACTGATATAGTAGGTAAAGATGGAATTGGCCTGTTTACACAAGTTTGTGGAAAAATTGTTTGTATATCCCGATAAGACCTATTTTGGAAATACCATTTTACAATTTGAATTTTCTCACGAACTTCGTAAACATCCATTATTTTACTTAAAAAATAAATTTTACACGAGAGCTGCCGCGAGAATCTATGTATTCGTTTTGGCTATTAAAACACGAATAAATACAAATTCTGAAACATTCTTATCACATATCTACCTATTTTTATTTTATCGCATTTTTTCGCTTGCTTTTTATCCGGCGGACGGGTATACGGTAATTCGTCCGGTTCTGCCTATGTTACTACTACGGTGGTCCGGTCTGTATAGTCACTTACCAGCGAAAAGCTATTAATTATTATTAAAAGAGATCTACCGCACACAACCAACTATTTTACAGTCTTTTTAGATAAATCGCAATAGTGTCACTGTTAATTTAAGTTCTGTCACAATATCCTTCAAAAGTTACTACCTCCGAACAATACCAATTGCAGAAAAAATAATAAAAAATAACATAAAATAAGCTCAGTAAAGACAAACAAAAAATCTACAAAATTTCAAATCAAATTCAATTGTTTCAATCAAAACGTCAAACAGAACTGACAGGAATGGGTATCTATGATGTCGATTCCGTCAACAATGCATGAATGGATAGTCAGTGATGGTTATGAAATGAAGATTGCTATAGTCTATAAATGAATAACTTTGAATTTTGACCGTTATTTTTTACCAACATGGCAAATATAAAATACCTCTGTCAAAAAAGTTATTGATATTCTTTAAATTGAGTGCCTGAACTAGCCTACACGAATCAGATAGGTAACTCTTTTTACTTTCGTGAAATAAAAAAGGAAAATAATAAAACAAGTGACAATTCTTCCTCTTCTTGCAAAAATCAACACGAAATGTCATAATTGACAAAAGTAAAATGTCATCAGCTTTTGACATTTCTAAATATTAGACCAATGCCGTCACTATTAGAACAGCCACGGAGCGAGACTTATGACGTCACGCTAGTTAGATAATACGGATTAATAAATATATTGGAGAATACATGGAAACATAATTATTCCTCGTATTTTTGGTTTGTATTTTAAAAATAATATAGTTTACATGAAATATACATAATATACAGTTAATAAATACAATATAATATATACCTATTTATTGTAATAAATACTTTGGCTAATAAACACGAACCATACAAATGCAGCAAATGTTTTACAATATACAAATAATGAATAGGTGGTACATAAGATATTGGGTAAAATGTAAATATATTTTAAATTTTGTGGTTCGAAAATCGATCTAATTTAACAAAAACATTCAATATCTACTAATAGTGATGTATTATTATTTGCATTCACAAAATTTATTTATATATTATAATGTTTACTGCAATTAATAAACTAATATAAACTTGTCAAAAGATGACCACATATTTTTTAAATTATTATTCTTAACACACAAAAACTATCTACATTGACTATGGAGTACGATTTCAGTCATATTGTAAAAACATTTGCTGCATTTGTATGGTTCATAGTTTATCTGCCAAAATATTTATTAATATAAATAGGTATATATATTGTATTTATTAACTGTATATTATGTATATTTCATGTAAACTATATCATTTTTAAAATACAAACCAACAAATCGAGGAATAATTATTTCCCATGTATTCTACAACATAGTTATTAATCTGTAGTATCTAACTAGTGTGACGTCATAAATCTCGCTCCTAGGCTGTTCTATTAGAGACGGCATTGCGTCAGCATGGCCGCAAGTTGCTAACCAAGTGCTAACCTAATAAAATTAACACTAGAAAAGCCCGCGGGAACTGTCAAATTCAAAGTTATTCGTTTCACAGACTATATCACTTTAAATGTAAAATTATAAGGCGAATGTTATCGATCGATATAAAATAAATAAAATAAAATTATATTCAAGGGTTCCAATTTTTTTTTATTTTTTAGGTGATTTGCTGGAAAATTATTGCTGGGACGACGACTTAATGAATGTCAGTAGACTGCTGTTCAGTATACAAATTCTACTAACTTATCCTATAGAATGTTTCGTCACAAGAGAAGTTATAGAAAATTCGATAGTAGGACGAGATCCAAATGTGCCAATGCCAGAAAAAATACATTATGCTATTACTTTAACCATAGTTATCTCTACGTATTTGATTTCAATGGCCACAGATTGTTTAGGCGTCGTTTTGGAACTAAATGTAAGTGAAAACACCTTTTTACTAGCGATGGGAACTATCGAATGAATTAAACTATCGAATGGTTACTGAATGAATGATTTCAACTATCGAATGGTTTTATTCGAATAAAATCATTCATTCATTTGTATACTAAAGCATATGTGACAACCTCGCCGTGCGACTAAATGGTTATCGTTGAGCCACGACTATCGAATGCTTTTGATAAATGAAATTTGAAATTTAGTATCTGTTTGATTTTTGTGCGTCAGTGCATTATTAGTTCTTCCAAATTCTTATAATTTCACCTTATAAACACTGTGCTATAAAATATTTAAAATACTAAAATAGTAGTTTTTTTAATTGACGATTGTGTGCGTGTGCAGGTATCAAAATTTTTCCGAAAATTTGTGTGATTTTCTGTAGCCCGATCTTTCAATTATTTTATTTTATATGGTATATCTATATGGTCTATTTTTTAATGGGAAATTTTGAGAAGTAGCAATTTTTAAGAGAGATGAGATGAACTTAGAATTAATTTTAAAAATACATATTTGTATTTTAGATGTTTTAATAATATGAATTAGTTGAACTTAATAATAATATTTAAGTAATGTAGTTAAGTAAATGGTTATCGAACTCGAACTATGGGGTGAGAAAATTAAATTTTTGCTACTACGTAAAATAATGTTTATATTAAATTATTTTAAATTTTGTTGTTAATAGGAATAACAAATTATTACTGTTATTATTATTTTTATTAAACCAGTCTTTGCTAAAAACATTAAAAATCATTTTCTTACATCCAAAATAACAAGTATTATTGCAGTGTAACAACAGAATATTAATAAAAAAAATGCAAAATATATATAGACATACTATCCCTAACTAACTAAAGCCAAACAATAATATTCTTTGCTAATATCAACTAATACCAATATATGGCAACAGCGCCCTTCATAATATATTTTCTGTGTAAATACTAGCACCTCAATAAAAAAATAATGTGTCCTTATCTTTATATGACTCCGCAAAAAATCAAAGATGCCGGCTTCTTTCATAGCAATGCCACCGACCGCTGTCGGGTTTCTCGGAAAGAAACCTACGTCGCCGGGCGACAACTAAAATCCAGTTAATATTTCATTATAATCGATCCTGACGAATAAATGAATTTCATAAATGAATGAATTTTATAAATGAATGGTTTTTGCCTCCGAATTACTAGAATCCTTCTAGAATACAATATTTCAAGGCAGATGACGCATCTATTCGATAATTTTTCGAATAGTTTTCAACGAATGTTTTTTTACTAGCTATCGAATTATTCGAATGAATTGCAACTATCGAATGTTTCGATAGTATTCATTCGATAGTTCCCACTACTACTTTTTACCTTTTAAAAAAAGTATAGAGAGATGTATTATGTTACAGGGTGTTTTAGCTGCAGTACCTCTGGCCTACGTCCTACCAGCCTTATGTTATCTGCGCCTTGAGGAAGGAGTCATTTATGGAAGAAACAAGTTACCAGCTTTAGGTGTTGCGATATTTGGTTGCACGGTAGCCATTTTGGGCGTGGTCTTTTTATTTATGGATTTAGAGCAGGTCAATCAATGTAGCCATGGAAGTGCCATGAGCTACTGCCTGGAGCAAAATAACACAGCAAATTATAATAAAACGAAAGCCTAAATCAAGTTATTTTCACTTCAATAAATTATATACAGAGTGTAAAAAGAAAGGGTGTACCAAACTTCAGTGGGTGGTTCTAAAGATAAAAATAAAACAAACAATTCTTATGAACGACGCCCTAAGGGGTAGTTAGGTACCAGATATGGCTTTAAAAATTTACAAAATATGTTTGAAGTAAGGGCTTTAAGGACAGTAAAGGCTCTCAAGGGTTGTTTCTTCCTCAACTTCCTCACCAAGCACCTTAGGTCGTATGATCACAAGAAATATTTCTATTTTATTTTAATAATCTGTATTACCAATCACTGAAGTTTGCTACATTATCTTTTGACACCCTGTATATACAGTTGGTTCGACGATTCTTCAACGTTACGTCATCGATGTTTATCAAAAATATGCGTTCATCTGAGATCAGTTCATAATGTTTCAAAATTATTATTATTAGGCTTTTATTGATTTTGACTTTGCTAAATCGGCCCTATTGTAAAAATAAACTTGTGTAAAGAGTTAGGGCTATTCCCATACAATATAATATACTCTTTGATACTCTGTATGTTCTAGATGATGTAGAAATGTCAATTTACAAAGAAAGTACGACAATATATAGGGTGTCAAACTGCGGTGGGCGATTCTACAGATAAAAATAAAACAATAAGTTTCTATGAACATATACCCTAAAATGCTTCCAGAAGAAGTTAGTATATTAGTAAACATGTTTTTGTTAAAAAATTTAGTACTCTTAGACACATTTTAATGGTAAAGCGTAATAAATTCCGTATTTTTTTACTTTATTTGATAGAAAATGACTCTGAATAGAATGACATATAATATGTCAATTTTTGACATTCTCGCTTAAGAAATCGTATTTTAAATTTCAATCTAGAGTGCCGTGGCTATGTTAAAAATACTAATTTTTAATCAAGAAGCCTTGGAAAATGGATTTGATCGTCGAATGTTTTTAGTGTCTTGTCCTGCCCGGTCAAAAAAGATGTCCAAATCGTATTTCTTCTAAATCATATCTCAATTTTTTCAAATGGAACGAGGGTGGTTCATTAGCATATTGGGAAAAAGTATTTTTTACGAATAATTTGATACCACACACTTGGTATTTCAAGTCAAATTGTCGTTATGTTACAATTCAGATAAACCATATGCGAAAATGTCAAAAGTTGACATACAATATGTCATTCTATTCAGACTGTCATTTTCTATCAAATAAAGTAAAAAAATACCGAGGGTGCCATTTAAAAATCAAAAGTTCTAGTCGTTTCCGGTGATACAGAAAGTGACCGAAAACAATTGAATACGTCAATCAATCCTAATTTATGTCATATACTAACATAGCAAATCTCGTTTTTTTATCTGAAAAAATAAAAAGTTATAGGGGGTGAGTCACTTTTGGGACGCACCCGGTATATAAAGATAAAAGAATTACCACAGTGTAAAAAACGGTTTGCCAATATGCTTAAAGAACAGAATATATATTATTTTTATTTACCATTTCGAGGCCTGTAATTACCTCGAGAAGCATTTTAGGGCATATATTCCCAAGAACATTTTGTTTTATTTTTATCTTTAGAATCACCCACCAAAGTTAGATAAACTATTTTTTGACACCCTGTATGACGTAACATTGAAAGATTGTCGAACAAACTGCACATACAGTATGTCCACGAATATTGGACACATGGAAAACTTTGTTAATTTAGATTTTTTTTTCAGAAATTTTGATTCTTAATATTAAATTTCTGCCAAGTTTTCTATATTAATGTGTCGGAAATTTTTAGACCCAGCCTATATTAAGCAATCTCTATAAATAAGCAAATAACGTATAGACAGAATATTAAAGTAATTAGAATAAAAAAAATATTTTTAAAAATACGCTAAAATAAGATTTTTTAAATTTCTTTAAAAAAATCTAATGCCAATCAAAACATTAACTTCATTTGGTATATTAAATGTAAATATACCAGCCAAAATGTAAAAATAAATACAAAACCCGTACAAAAACCTGTTTCAACCTGTTTTAAAAACGCCAATATACACAGTGTCTCATATTATAAGATAACATGCAAACTACAGGAATCTCATGAACTAGGATAGATACAATGATGACTAAATTAGAGTAAAGTTGTGTCTTCCTAAACCCTACAACGTCCTGTTTCTGAATCTAAAAAAAACCGAGTACTTCCGAAGAAAAAAACGATTTTTCTCGATTTAATTTTTTTTATCTTATTTCTCATATGGGACATCGTGTGTAATAAGTAAATATAATAATATTGATAAATTCCTGATAAAAAATCATTCTAATTCATAATAGTACGAGAGCTAGCAACGTCGGAAAAACAAGGCCGTCTGGCTCTTTGATATATGTTTTACTATACTCTCTAGAACAGCATGCGGCTCGTCTGACTGCCGGTAAACGTTGCGTTCTCTACTGCGCATTGAAAGAAGATCCTATATTTTTATTAGTCCTTTAAATTCTAGTATTGAATATAAATCGAACATGTCTCCATAGCGCAGTCACAAATTAACTACAACAGATGCGAAAGAACACCGAATTACGCGTTCAGGTTTCTGTGACCTTCAGAAAGAGTTCATAGACAATCCGCATCAATGTATAGTTTGGGTTATTATTTGTTTGGGTGAAAATAATCTGCACCAATATGTTATCGAGGCATACAAAAAGGTCCACAGACTTCGAGACATACGAAAAATCAAGTCTATTTAGCGTGTGTCGCAATTTTCACACCTTAAAAAATTAGTTTTTTATAGCTATAGCAACTGCAGCGACTATGAAAAAAGCTGTGTGATTTTCATTCAAAATAAGGGCACCTGTAATTCATTTGAGAATGTTATAAATCGCTAAAAGAGGTTTCAAATCCCTTGGATTTCTATTAATATTAAATAAATTTTATTAAAAATTGAACTAAAATTGTTAATATCATTAAAAACAATTCAAATTCAAAAATTGTATCAGTCAAATTCCCTCATTTAAGGTGAATATTAAAGTAAATATAAATACAGCCCATTCTAAGCTCTACTTATCTTTAAGAAAAATTTAAATCATTGTTGCAATTGGGCCTTAATGCCATTTCGAATGAACAATAGTATTAATAATGTACATTATAATAATAATAAATTTTATATCATAGTGTGTATTAAAACTACCAAAACACTTTTAAATTGGTATATATTAACAACTTTTGTTTTTTAATCCAAAAAAAAGTTACCAATTTTCTCAATCAAAATATTTGTGGTCCTGAAAAGGACCTTCGTTTTCCCATGTTCGTCAAGGTAGGTAATGGGTAAACGGTAAAAAAACAGGATAATGAAATTTAAAAAATTACAAAAATTGTTCAAAAGTGCCTCCCTCTTGCATTAAACAATAACCCAAACGATCATAAAATCCCCTCCTCACATTGGATAACATATCAGGGGTGACAGTGTCAAAGGCATTAAATATTTTCTGCCTTAACTGCTCCAAGTTTTGAATTTCTTCATGGCCGTAAATTTTAGATTTTATGTACCCCCATAAAAAGAAATCATTCACCGAGAAGTCAGGTGAAATTAAACGTCAGTCTAAACAAAACTGTCATTTTTGAAAACTTGTCAAAATTTGGACACACGCTAAATGGACTTGATTTTCCTATGTCTCGAAGTCTGTGGACTTTTCTGTATAATCTCGCAGTAATTTAATAGATTGCTCGTCATATTATATCAGCTCGTAGGAGATTAGGAAAAAAAAAGATATTTATAGTATAAAAAATTAATTTATTTAACAAAATTTAATTAAAGATGTGACAAAATAGTTACATTTCTATTGGTTCTATCAAGGTTCTATCGGACTTTTTTCGACTATATAAATCTTTATTTTTTGTAAACTTTAATGCATAAAATATTTTCAATGTAATAAATAATTTAATGATGTAAATTAGAGGAAATTTCTCACATGGGTGATCAAATTCTATAGTTTTCATTATATCAAACAGCCTCTGAATGTTTTCTTCAGTGCAAATCTCATCAAAATTTAATATAAATAATTTTTCCAGCCTGTAAATAAAATGAACAATTTTTCCACTTTCATGATCAAAGGCTTTTAAATGGGTAAATAATTTCGAGTTATCCAGATTCGGATTCTTTTGCAAATTTTAGACAAATATCACATTGATGTATTTGAAGACCCTTTTTAATGATGTAATGACATAATTAAACAGCATTTTGAGTTGAAAAACATTTCTCAGAGGCTGTTTGATATAATGAAAACTATAAAATTTGACCACCCATGTGAGAAATTTCCTCTTGTTTACATCATTAAATGATTTATTAGATTGAAAATATTTGATGTATTAAAGTTTACAAATAAAGATTTATATAGTCGAAAAAAGTGCGATAGAACCAATAGAAAGGTAACTATTTTGTCACATTTTTAATTAAATTTTGTTAAATAAATTAATTTTTTATACTATAAATATCTTTTTTTTCCTTATAAATAAACACATTTGCATCCCATTTTAAATAAGATATACAAATTTTTTTAAAAAGAAACATATAACCACGCACTATGTCATTCCAGCAAGCGAATACGACACAGCATAGGTTTCCGGACTAAACGACTGGTGTATTTACACCACTCAATAGGCGTGTCGGGTTTGCCGAGCGGTTTCCGATGCAGTCGCTTTCTTTCGCATCTGTTATAGGTAATTTGTGGCGCAGTGCCTAAAGTTTTCGACCACGAACCGAGGATTCAGAGTTCGAATCCGGGTAAAGGCAAAGACTTTTTTATATTATTTTCGTTTATATTCTTATAGTAAAGTATTAAATAGTTGTTTTTTTTTAATCACCAGAATTATTTAATACTTTACTATCGGAATATAAACGAAAATAAAATAAAAAAAAGTCTTTGCCCTGACCTGGATTGAACTCTGACCGGTTCGTTCGGAAACTCTACGCACTACGCTATGGTTCATTATGTTCGATTTATATGCAATACTAGAATTTATAGAACTAAATTAAAAAAAATATATAGGATCTTCTTATTCCGATGCGCAGTAATGTACGCAACGGGTATCGGCAGCCAGACGGGCCGCATGCTGTTCCAGAGAGCATAGTAAAAGATATATCAAAGAGTCAGACGTCTTAAAATACTTTCTCGAAAACGTTGCTAGCTCTTAGACTATAATTAACCATAACGGCTCTAATATATACAGAATCGACAAAAACTTAATAGCCTACTGATATATTTGTAACAATCAAAATATAGAGCTTAAAAATGTATTGTATATTAATTAAAAAAAAAGAAATATTTATATAAAAAAAAGTAATAATATTATATAAAAAAGCACGTATTATTATTGTGAAAAA